TTAACCATACAAATAGCTTTGTTTATTTACAAAATACTTCCTATGCCCCTTCCCCCAACCATCACTGATTCTTTGCGATAGTTTGCTGAGTATGTGATCCCTATTTAAGTTGAACGTGTTTGTTTATCATTACTAAGTATGTCTTACCGGTGGTCTGGAGTTAGGGTAGACATTAAGAAAGAAGTCGTTCCTTTGCTGAATTATGAGTTCACATGGCAGAGAAGATAACAAAATTATAAATATTGAGGTTTGAAAGCAAGGTTGGAGAGTAATGTGCAACTCAGAGAGATGCTGACACAAGGAAGACTTGACTACAAAGGATCTATGGATGAGTTTCTCAGGAGAGGCCTCTTCAGGGAGTTAACATTTATAGAGACTGAATTAGAATAAGTTTTTCTCTTTAATGTGTTACAGCAATTTGCCCCTAGTATATGACAAAGATAAATCACCTAATTTTTGCCATAAATGGAAACAGAATTATATCAACAAAGCAGTATTTTTGAAATATCAAAAACGATTATGAGAGTTGTTTGCAAAAGTCATCTAAATGAATTTATTCCTAGTATTTTAGATCTTAGGAATATCTTAAAAATATTCGAACACATTTAAAACAAAGGTTTGATTAAATGAACTAAAATGATACAAACTAAATTTAATATGAATATACAATAATTTTTACTTTCCTTACATTTTACTTTTTCCTCTTCTTACTTTTAAGTTATAGGCTATTTGTGTATTTTTAAGAGTCCTCAGCTATAATGTATCCTTCATTTTATAAAACCCCTAGTCCCTAAACTTCTATTAGGGAAGATCATTACTGTTAACTATTTGTTAGCACCTAAAATATGCAAAATATTTATATAAAATGAGATTCCTGACAATCAAGTATTTTAAATTAGAAGTCTTAGTATAAGATTTCATGATTGACTCATAGTGAACAATTTTATATTGTATATGTGAATATATGTACAATTAATGTCTTATGTTGTGCCTCTTCACTATAAAGTAAATATCACATACTCAGATTTCCCTTATGAGGGCCCTGGTTCACTCACTGGATATACTTTGTACCTTTGTCCAATGTCTTACATGTAATCAAACACTTTCTTGGTACTAATTGTAGAGTGGCAAATCAAAATATACCTTTAGGAAAGTTTACGGTTTATCTCCTAGCTAAAATGTAACCTGTGAAAGGTGGGATGATGTGTTTTGCTGTTATTAAAAAAAAATAGTTCCTGTGATCTAACATGACAATTTAACTGTGGTAGGTCTTTCAGGGAGAAAGGTCTTCAGGGCTCTGTCATTTCTCTTGTAAAACATTTGTTCAGCACACATTCGAAAGTTTTAGATTCAATTTTTTCTTTAATAATGATTTTTGTTACTATCTTTCTTATTGTTCTTTACTTGTCTTTTCAACCCATGTTTTTCAGATCAACATGCAAAGTTGAGTTTTGTGTGATTCTGGTGCCAAAAGCTGGGGAGTTCTACAGTAGATGTTGAACATTTAATGTTTTCTAAAGAAGTTAAACTTCTGAATATTTTATGCATCTGTTCACAGGAAGTCTACTTTTATTAGGTAGCCATGACTTTTCTTTTGGTTTTCATTCATAATTCTTTTAAAGAAGACTGTTTAATCAGTAAATATTTCATGAGTTCCTGATACATGCTGGTTGCTAGAGATACAAGAAAAATTAAGACACAGATTCAAGAGAATATGATGATAACCTGAAAGATGGAAAACAGTGACAAAGGTGGTATGCTTGAGGTAAGTTTGTGCAGAAGGAAGTGCATGGTAGAAGGCAAAGGGAACATGAATAGAAAGGGTTGAAGGTAGAGAGAGCAACATGACAAAAAACAGTGGAGTTTAACTACTTTACAGGTATCATCAACAATACCCTATTAAATCAAGCACTGATGTGAGGAAATGAAAAAACAATCCACAAAGAGCCTCCTGCCTCATGTTACATTACAGAGCTTGAACAGTTTTCCGAAAGGTGAGAGGTCATAGTCATGTTCTAGAAATAGAACGACATCATCACATTTGGTCCAGATGCCAATTAGTCTAGTAGCACTCTTAGGGAATTCATTGAGCCAGTTGATTTTAAAGACAGAGAGAGAGAGAGAAGGTGTGAATACACTATAGAAGTTGAGGCCAAAGATGTTGAAGAAACTACACTATGGTCTTTGAATAGTTTGGGGCATATTCTAGAGTTGTAGCAGTTGAGGAAATGGAAGGTTTTTCTGGATGCAGATAAAGTGGAAAAATGTATTCCAGTTAAGACCATGTAAATTATAGTGTGAAAATAGTAAATAGTTGTAAATAAAATACACATTTTACTGAAAAAAATAAACTTCTTGTTACCCTCATTTTATATTCCCATGATTTTAACCACAGATGAGTCTCACACTTCATGGTATAATTCCTTCCTTCCTCCCTCCCTCCCTCCTGCCTTTCCCTCTCTCCCTCCTTTCCTTCCTTCCTTTGACTGTATTCCTTTGTCTTTTCTTTGATGTATCTGGGGTTGAACTCAAGACCTCACAGGTACCAATGAGAAATTCTTTCATTTCAGCTTTGTTTTCAATCTATTTTGCTTTCATTATTGATGAAGAAGGGTCCCACCTTCTTTTGTTCCTTTGTTTTGTTTTTTGCTCTGGCTAACTGGGATGAAAGGCAGGAATAATCAAACTCAGTATTTTTTGCTAGTTGAGAAGGGGGGGGGTCTCATGAAATTTTTGCCCATATGGGCCATGGTAAACAAGGGGACCACGATCCTCTCCAATTATAGTCTCCTAAATAGGATTACAGGCATGAGCCATAATTTCATAAGATTCATTTTTATGTTTATTCTGTTGACTTTACATTCTTGATTTGCATTCTCTCATGACATTTTATGCAAGGATCCTAAATTTCCTTGGAATAAATTTCAGTTTTAGCTTACTTTCCTATTTCTGATGTGATCTTTGTATCTGATATACTACCTTGAATTAATTAGTTGCCTCCATGTTTGTGAGCTGTGCGGACTCTGCCTGAAATCATCCAGGCCCTTGAGAACTCAACTTTGTTCCCATGAGTCAAGCTTTTCATTTTATTGAAAATTTTGACTGACGAAAAAGTATGCATTTTAAAGCTTGAAGCCTATTGGTAGATCTTTTTAAGTAAATAGAATATTTCTTTCTTTTACAAAAATATGGAGATTTTTGAGTTATGTGCTGCAAAGAATAAGAACTTCTAATTTTATTGAATACTGGTAGGAGAATAACCTTCAAATATATTATTGATAGATATTTAATTTCAAAACATTTAATTGACATTTGATAGCTCTTTAAAAATACAAGTAACTTTTATGGGGCATAGAAATTTAGGGTTAATTATAAAGAAAAAAGGCAGCAATTGAGATGAAAATACTTGTGTAATTTATGGGGAATGTACTAGGAATTTCAAGAAAAAGATACAATGTATACTAAGGAACTTTCAAGATAAGGATGGAGAAAATAATGAGAGAAGGAAGTCAACATAGACAGAAAGGATAATAACCCAAAAGTTTACAAAGTAAGCACATTGGAGGTAAGAAAAGTATGGTATTGTATCTGATCAAAGAAGGGAGAAATTAAGAGACACTTGAATTATATTTTGCCAACAGATGACAAATACTTGTGGAAAACGTAGAATACAAGAGTGAAAAATTATAACTGAGTATCACATCAAGTTGACAACAAAATGTTGTGGCAACAAAGCATTTTGTCAAATGTAGGGTGATAGCAGAGAGGAAAGCTGGAAAATCAGCTGGTAACAGAGTGTAGCAGGGCTGGGATATGAGCCTTAGGGTCTATACTTGATCTGATTTGAAAGGAAAGAACATTTCTGAGAAGAGACATGATCAGCTAAAAAAATTAGTCTGGTCGTGTTGCTTTAAGTTATAGACAGAGAAAACACTAAAATTTAGAAGGCAAACTAAGGGGAAAGTTAAAATATTGCTGTGAGAATTAGGTTACTGTGGTGAGTGAGCAAGTAAGCAAGGCAGGGAAGTGGAGGTCTTGCTAAGATGTACCAGTGTTTTAAATCTTATGAGGAATTTGGACATAAAAGAAAGCAGAGGGTTAAGCAGTCTAAGAAATATAAAGAATGAAGCATGCCTTTCTCTTTCGGTCTAGGAGGGAAGTAACCATGCTGCTGGGTGGCAGGAAGAGTTGGGTGGGGGAGAAATAAAACACAAGACAAAGGATTGTCATTGATGTTGCACAGTATTTTAGTGAGGTAGTAAGAGAGGAATTGCTCAAGGTAGGTCAACTGCTCCTGCTCAGGGCAAGAGATGATTAAAGAGAATGAAGCTGAAAAGAAAAATTGAAATGGAAGGAAGGAAGGAAGGAAAGAGGGGGGGAGGGAAGGAAGGAGGGAAGGAGAGAGGAAGAAAGGGAGGGAGGGAGGCAGGAAGAAAGGGAAGTATTTACTAAGCATGAGAATAGAGATTGGGAAAATGCAGAAAATAAGGCTTCCAAATGGAACTTTTGAGAACCACAGATACTGGCTGTCACATAAAGTGGAATACTCAGAGAACATAATTAGAATAATTTTCTGCTATGTATGTGCGCACAGGTACCTGTGTGTGTGTGTGTGTGTGTGTGTGTGTGTGTGTGTGTGTTGGTTCTGGAGCTTGAATTGAGGGACTGGGCACTGTTCCTGAGCTTTGTGCTGATGGCTAGCACTCCACCATTACAGCTACAGCTCTATTTGCAGCTTTTTCAGAGATACATAGTTTCACAGACTTTACTGCCTGGGAGACTTGAACCATAAACCTCAGATTTCAACCTCTACATAAGCTAGGATTACCGGCATGTGACACTATTGCCCAAACAATTGAAAATCTTTTTAGAAGAAAATATATTAATATTTACTTCTTATTTTTCTTTTGAGCAGTTATGACATAGTCTAAATGACTTCCCCTGAAAACAGAAAATAAACAATAGTAATTTATCATGGAGGCTGAGGACAAGAACCTTACCTCTCTCAAAGGATCATTAAGTTCATTTAGAATATTTTCTTCATCGAATATTTTGCCTTGATATCTGTGTTCATAATAATCATGTATCTTCTGACGCATATCTGCCGGGAGCTTGTGGAAAGACATGTATTGTTCCACTTGCTTATACTGTCAAGAAAAAAAGAAAGAAAATTAGAAAACATTGTCAGATGAGAAACTGTGACATCGCTTTGCTGTGCTATTTTCAATAACATTTGAAATCCACAGAACAAAAGAAGAAATCCTTTAAGGGGAAGGAACTAATGTACTAAGTCCTTGTGTACCTATTCAATGTCATGTGCTGTAGAAGCCCTTGTATTTAGATAATCACTTCCTGTAAAGAACTGAGACATCAAGGAGACACGAGTGGAATTTAGAGTAATTTTTTTAAGGTCTATACAAGCCAATGATGAGACAGGGGAAAAATGAGGTGTTATGTTTTTTTATTGAGTCCTAAGACAAATAAGTTGCTGTTTGGCTGTTGATTTAAAAGAAAAATCTTGTTAGTGAATAGCACAAAATGTTTTATCTTAAGCTTTCTGAACCCAATTAAACATTGATTCTACAGGAAGAGAGCTTGGAAATCATACACACTTAGGTGATATAATGTCCTGTTATGCATTGAGAACTAAGAGAATATATCAGGTTCCCAATTTAGGATTTAAGAAAACATGAGGATCAAAATAGATTTGTTCAAGGTTAATTTAGATGTTTAAGTTAATTTAAGCAACATGTCTTTAAGTGAGTTGTTTATAAAACCTAGAAAGGAACTTGCAGACTTCCTCTTTTGAAGGGCAGCACTGGAGACTTATGAACAGCCTTATGTTGATAGGTAGGCACTCTCCAACTTAAGCCCTGCTGCTCCCCCTTGGATCCTCCCCTTGGAAGATCTTTGTCTACCAAGTAGATGGGGTTACAGACATTTGCCACTATGCTCAACAAAGGAGGTTGTTTCTTGAGAAAAGCAGACCTTCCGATGGAGTTCTGGAGATTGGTTCTATTGATGTGCCAACCATTTCCTATTTGTGCACATACATGTACAAGGGGTTTTAATGTAACATCTTTGCTAGTCATCTTGGAGCAAACAAGCAGGGGTATTTACCTGTCAGTCTATGAAAAGAGAAGAATTTTAGCTCTTACTCTAGGCAATGGGATCAGAATCTACATCTTTTTTTTTTAAGTCCACAAAATAAGAACATAACATTAAAGTTTCAGAAGCCAGGAAAATTTATGCAGACGGCAACAATGCTCGATAAGAAATGTACTCATTACCTTGTTTATGTGATTGTAACCCCTCTGTACAGTATTTTCACAATAAAAACTTATTTTAAAAAAGTGTTCTTGAATTTGTGGTGCTTTACTTGCATTCCTTTTCTCTTGCTATGTAGTATATTTTGCCTTATTCTGTGGAGTATGGTAAGTCTTGAAAATATCTAACCTTAGAAAAGCAATGGTAATCACAATAATCTAGGACTGAAATAATTTTTATACTCACGGGAATACATCCATGGAGTCCTATAATTTCTGACTAAAGAAGGATTCACTCTTCTTTGGGACCAATAGGTGGTAAGCTATCTCTACTTTCTTTCCATAATGCACTGCTTAAACAAATTCTTGGACCCCTAAGAATCTGTGGTCACAACCTACATATTACACCTTAGTTTCTCCTTTCCTTTCCTACACGGCACAAGGATGTGGGGGAATACTCTGTCTGCTATCTACATCTCTGGTATGAGAAAATTCATCCTCAATTAACAGTACAAATGTTACACGTAAAGATAGTATATTTTATTGAAGACTGAAGTTGTTGGATCCAGTTAACTTTTCCCCAATCAAGTCATCTCATCTCTCTGCCACTTCAGTTGTATTAACTAGAGAGCGCTCTGTTGAGTAACCTTTCTTAATTATTTTACAGTCACAATGTTCTATTGACATTGGATGTGAATCTTTTAGTATATATATATATGTTACTTATTTTAATGATTCATTATTGTATACTAGCTATTGATCTCACAAATGAGTAATGATTTCTATGTGCCAATGGTATTTTAAACCATTGTCAAACCAACTATATTACCCAGAGCTTGTCAGTAATACATAACCATAGTTGCTACCAGACATCTACTGAGTCAGAAAACTCTGGAATTGAGTCCTCACAGCTTGTGCCTTAGCAGGCCTTCTACGCACTAGAATTTTAAGCACCATGTTATCTTAGGACATAAGGAAGCAAGCATGAGTGAGAGCAGGAGAATGATAAATTTAGTTGTGACAAGTTAAGATTTAGAGACTCATGGTATATCATCATGCTTACATATAGGTCAGGAACCCAGAGGAGGAAATCACACATCATCAGTGACTAAGGGAGTGTGAGGGATGATGTGTCAAATGAGGAGAAAAGAGGAAAAATCATGGAACTGGTACTTTTGAAAGCAGTTGGATCATAAAGATTGGAAAGGGGTGACATTGATCAAGATGCATTGTACTCATAAACTGACATGCTGAACTGAAATCTCTGTGAATAGCTACTTAAAGAAAATATTTTTAAAGAGTATTGTTAATAACCACCAAGATATGAGACCAGTGTTCGCTTGGGCAGCACATATACTAAAATTGGAACAATACAGAGAAGATTAGCATGGCCCCTGGGCAAGGATGACATGCAAATTCCTGAAGTGTTCCATACTTTTTGGAACCAACCCAGATGCCCATCAGTAGATGAATGGATCAAGAAAATGTGGTATATATACACAATGGAATTCTATGCCTCCATCAGAAAGAATGACATTGCCCCATTTGTTAGGAAATGGAAAGACTTGGAAAATATTATATTAAGTGAAGTAAGCCAGGCCCAAAGAAACATGGGTCCCATGGTTTCCCTTATTTGGAATAACTAGTATATGTCTGAGTCAAGCAGAAAAGGTCAGATAAGTTGATGTTAGGGGAATGAACCCCAAGATAAATATCCAATTTTTTTCTTTCATGCAACTGTTTCTAACTTATTTATAAGATGATTTCTTTGTTGCTTTATATGTTCCTCCCCCACAGTAAAACCCCTGCTTTCATTGTATTTGATGTTGGTATAATTTGTGGAGGAGAAGGGAAAAAACAAACCATTTAAGTAGGGATATAGGTGGACCCATTGCAACAATGAGATGTACAAGTCGTTATGTCAGAAAACGAACGTTACAACTTTTGGGGAGGGGGTGGAAATGGGAAGGTCTGGGAAGGGGAAACAAAGGAGGAGGCAAAATGCTTGATGAGAAATGTACTCATGGGGCTGGGAAAGTGGCTCATTGGTAGAGCGCTTGCCTTGCATGCATGAGGCCCTGGGTTCGATTCCTCAGCACCACATAAGCAAAAAGAAAAAAGCAGGAAGTGGCGCTGTGGCTCAAGTGGTAGAGCGCTAGCCTTGAGCTGAAGAGCTGAGGGACAGTGCCCAGGCCCAGAGTTCAGGCTCCACGACTGGACCCCCCCAAAAAATGTACTCATTACCTTGCCCATGTAATTGTAACCCCTCTGTACAGTATTTTCACAATAAAAATTTTTTAAAAAGACATGAGAACAGAACCAAAGAAAGATGATTAATACAACTCAGATATCAACTAGGAGTGGATAGAAGGTACATAGTCAAAAAACAAACCCAAAACAAAGCCAACACAACAGATGCCAGCTATTGGCCAAAAATTTGGAAATTGGGCAATACCTGTTCTTAGAATAGGGCACGAATTAAAGCCTGGACTGTTTCCGTCACACTTAATAAGCTTTGCAAAAGTAAATGGAAGAATCATTTCTATTTAAAATGTTTAATTAAAAATGTGTTAGATTTTAAGAAATACTCTTTGAAAAGATAATAGTGATGGCTTCAAATTGAAATAAACTAAAACCTAGACATTGTAAATAAGTTGGGAAATTCGAATTTGCAAATCATTGCTTGATACATTTATTAGTGATCAGCAAACCGACTTTTTGAAAGGCAGAGGTGAAAATACAATTTTTTCTTAGACTCAAAAGATCAAATGTACTGGGTCAGTGACTTGTGGAAAATAAAGTCTAGCAAGTGTGAGGCAGGGCTAGAAGAGGTAGAGAAAGAAGATAAAAGAGGAAAAGAGGAGAGGAGTGGGGAAGAAGAGCTTAGGGGAGAGAGGAGAGAAGGAGGAGGAGGGAAAGGAAATGGGAGGGAAAATTAGAGAGGGGGAAAGGGAGGAGAGGGGGAAGTGGATGGAGGGAAGAGGAGAGAGTTGAGGATGGAAAGGTGTAGTAGAAAACAAGTATTTTTAAAATTTGAAGTAATTCATGCATATAGTATTAAAATAAGATCTAATAGGAGTGTTAAAATGGTAGATAATGGATACTCCATTTTCAAACCTACCCGTTGTCTGCGTCCTATAATAGACTTGACTTTTTGCCATAAATATCAGGGTTAGCCACATTTAGTATCTCAAATCTTCCTTTATTTAAAAAAAAGATTGCTATGATTAGGTCATGCCAATAGTGTATCTTTCCTCAGTCTTCCTTGTACTTTAATGTATTTTTATTGTTCAGAATACTGTGGACAGGTTATACAATGAAAGTAATAAATCCACTCCCTCTTTCCAGCTACCATTATCTCTACTTTACAATGCTCAGAGGGATTAAAACTTTGTACTTGTGATTTGCTTTCCCAACTCATAAAGTTCTTTCATTTTCTGACCATATAAATATTGACAACAATTCCAGGTAAAACATTTTATGACATTTACTTTCCTTTCTTAGACATTTAGAAATTTTCTTTTTCCTGAGAGTTTCCTGTTTTCTGAGTATGTTCTCTTCCTTTAGGATATCCCAACCCCCAGGATTGCCTTTTGGCTTATTTATTCCTGTTGCTGGAAATAGCACTCAATAAACAGCTCAGAAATGTTATGTGAAATAAGGATTCTGAATCTTCCTATGTGTGAAAATGTAGCTACTACCATCTCTTTTTCTCCCTTTTCTCTTTTTCGATTGTCAATGTGATGTACAGAGGGGTTACAGTTACATAAGTAAGGTAATAAGTACATTTCTTATCAAACTTCTTACCCCTTCCCTCATTTTTCTCATACTTTCCCTCTCCCACAAATTGTACAGATCATTTCCAACATATATTCTTGTGA